CTGCTCTGCCAGGCACCTCTCAGCCCATCCACTTTGCCTCAGCTCTAGCCAGGCAACGAGTTTTGAATTCTGTGCCCTCCTCTGCCCCCGTACCTCCCCATCTCTGCCTGGAGTCCCAAGTCCTCTCCAAGGATTGTGGTCTTGCCTGGCGTCCTCCCGGCTTGGAGGCATTGCATCCCAGGCTCTGCTCCCAGCCTGCACCCCCTTCCTCCCTGGGCCTTCCCCCTCTCCGTCTCCTCTGACTTCAAAATGCTGAGAAGAAACACACCAAAGGTTTTCCTCTGGTTTCTGCAATGTGACTCTGTTCTGCACAGTCATCACTTTACTCTGTCTATTCCGTTCTATGTCCACCATAAGGAGGAGATGAAACAGCAAGTGTGAGTTCACTCCCTCACAGGGCAGGGGCTGGGGACTCGGCGTAGTGGGCTGCCTTCCTGTCATAGCTTAGAAATAGGCCCAGGGTAGTCCCCATCCAGGGCAGGGCCACCCTGAACTGGGACTGAGCTGGGAACCTCCAGGACATCCCCTCAGAAGTGCAAGTCCCGACTGGGGGTTTAAAGACAGATATAAATAGAAAGACTGTGATGTCCCTTCAGTCAAAGGCAGAAAATTGCCATATAATGCTCTCCTAACTTCAGACCTAATTGCTTTGATTTTTGACCTTTCGTGTGATGTTTACTTTATGTAATCATCGCATATTTAGAAGTGAATGTTATGTCTGTTTTGCTGGGGAAGTCCCTGACACTGGCTGATGTAATCATCCGGACTTGGGGCACCATCTGGTGGCCACTCACATGCACTACAGAGAAGAGATCCTCACCTGCTCTCCAACCACCCCAACATGATACCGTAGTTACCATAGTAGAGGCAAACAGATATCCTCCGACTCCCTGATCATAAAACACACAGACACACAAAAATCTTCTCTTGACCTTATTTCTCTTTTCTTTTACTATTTAATGTTTTTAACAGGTAACCCAGACCCCACTAACCCCATTTCTTCGCTGCCACTTCTGCCTCTGTTGACCTGGGACATCCAGGCAGTCACACTCCAGGAAGCTGTGGGCTGTGACATCACTCTCCCTTTACATCAGGTTTCTTTCAAAACTCTCAGCCATTGGCTTCCAAACCCTCCTACCCTCCTGACCCTGCTATCCTGAAGCTTGGCAATGTTTTCCAAGTCCCCAAACCCAACGGTGCAACCTCATCATCATGCTGCCTGAACTTTTGTTCTGGAGTGCTCAGTACTGTTGACAACCTTCTTTTCGAAGCTCCTTCATCTCCCCTCATCTCTAGGATGAAGAGCAGTTTCTAACATCTACATCCATGTGCCTTAATCTCATTTTAGAATTGTGCTACGGTTGGAACCAGAAGCTGCTTTGTATGAGCTATGTGAACTCCATGTGACCGTTGTTCTATGTATTCTGTTGCTTTAACAGGATATTTAGGAGGGTACCTGTGCTTCTTGGCACACCCTGACCCAGAGGGAGTTATTTTCAGAGTTGCTTGGCTGGTGCTGAATACCCAAGATACCAACAGTTCCCAAGCGGAGCCTGTGATCATCTGATAAACTCCCGCCCTCACCCTGAAAACACTGTCAAACCCCCTCCTCAGCCTCTCTTGGTAATGGACGCCCCTGCTTAGCATGGGGTGTGGGGATTGGGGATAATTAACTGGTGGGCTGGCCTCTGAGCTGGGAACAAATTAGAAAAGTCTGTGCAATGTGAAGGTGGCTTTAATCCTAGAAACTTTTTGACAGACAGACCCCTTTGAGCCTAGTTTAGAAATTGTACTGCCAAGTCCCCATTTGCTGGTGTGTGCTGTGAGGTTGGAAATGTCTCCTAGAATCCTGCGTTGGCTTGGTTTTCACAATGGTACCTGGTGATGCCAGGGAGGCCATGAATGCTAAGTAGGGTAGGCAATATCAGTTCCAGGACCCTTAGCTCCACCCTCCACTCCCCAAACAGGGAAGCTGCACGGGGGAGCCTTGGGTCAACAGACATTTCTCTCCCTTTCATCTTAGATCACATCCTTCCTTGGTCACCTTAGGAGATGGGAACATCTTTCTGAGTTTAGCTTCTTAGATCAAGATTAGTCCAAGGGCTAAACAAAAACCTTGCCTGGGTTGTTCCTGCATCAGGCCCTGGCAAGTAGGAAATCAAGAAGAGTCACCCCATACAGGCCAAGAATTGGGTGGGCGGGCAGCACAGTCATAGTGAAGGTCCAACTCCTAGCCCAGGTGTCCAAGACCCTTCGCCATTGAGCCTTGTTTGCCCGACACATCTGCCACTCTTTTTTCAAAATTGCAAGTAGGTGGACATTCTGCACAGAACAGCTAACTGTGAAGATCCAGGACCCATGAAAATCACTATGTCTGCCATCAAGCAAGCACTGGTATTAACAACACACTGACGGACAGGTCCATGCCGAGGGTGATGTGGGTACTTGGGCCTGGGGGAGGCAAGCAGCAACCACATCTGACACTTTCCTCTTAGAGGGGAACACCAAGATTCCACAGAGTCAACAGGGTGGAAGCAGGGCCTAGTCCCAATGGCACTGCAACCCCCAAATGAGACTATATCAGGTTTGTTCTCCAGCATCTACGATTAATAGAATTAATCATTAGATTAAGGAATCTTAGTTATAGAGAATATATACAAACCCTTTTGGAAGGCCTAAGGGTTTTTACTATAATACTTGGCTGAAGGCAGCCTTGTCCCCTTAGTTAAATAAATTAGAGTAGAAACAAAGGAATTTGAGGAGTTTACCTAACTAACTTGTTTACTCTTGTGGTCCTATAAACTAACCCTTACTCATTCCGGATGGCTCTCGGGGGGAGGTCGACCAGGGATATTACCCACTAATGGTGTTTGCTTTAGGCCTCAGAACTTGGCCTTTAACCTTCACCCTCTAGTGGTGTTGACTCAAAGCCTTTGTCATTTAATGTGTGCTGAATAAAGGCTGGTGAGTTCAGTGTGTCGTGGCTGGCGGCTGCTATCTCTTTACATCACTATCTTCAAATGTCTATGAGTGGCCATGAACACCCCAGCCCACTCTTTCACTGTATTCTGTGTGTGTGGATTTATTCATTTGTTGTTGAGTCAGGGTCTATAGGACAGACCCCTGCAGGTGGTGACCCCGACAAATATCAACTCCTGGTGGACAGTTTGAGTCTGACATACATCATGCTCCGAAGCAGACACAAGGCACAACACTCCCCACGGCTGGGTTTCTCTTACATTTCCCTCCTTACCCACGTGCAGCTCCTTCCTGCTCACCATCTCCAGAGTCCTGGACTCCAGAGAGCCTGGAGGAATTGGGAACTCATGGCTGTGGGCCTCAACAGGGTCTGGGCGGGAAGGTGAAGCACTGCTTTCAGGTGAATAAACAAAAGGAGGAGAGAACACACCAAGGGAGGCTTGAAATTCCTGGCTACTGGGAGTCCAGGAGCAGAGACATGGAAGGTGGAAGGGATGTGGCCAGGAAGCCAAGAGGGAAATACTGGGGAGAAGGAACCCACTGGGCAGACTTTCATGCAGGCAGAGGAGATGTGAGTTCCTGGAATGAAAGACCAGTGATACCACAAGATATATGCTGCTCTGAACAAGCACAGTGACCCCATGAAAATGCCTGCTGGATGAGGTCTCCAGCTTTGCAGAGCCACTGGGCTTGTGGGGGGCAAAGTAAGATGAGACCTGCCATACCACCCTTTCACCACGCTGGTGAAAGTCACGCTAACAGAACCAAGCCAGGTCCGATGGGCTACTCTTACAAGTCGTATGCAACAGAGACTTCTAGGCATCTACTCAATATCCACTCCTTTATGAGTGGGACACTGGGCATTGTACCCAGTTGATAAGTCAGTTTCTCAACCTCTCTTGCAGAATGTGTTAGGTGGACCCTTTTGTGCAACCATGCTCACTTCCTTCTTTCTGTTAACTGGAATATGGACATCATGGCTGGCACTCCAGGAGCCATCCTAGACCATGAAGCAACCTTGAAGATGGTGCCTCTTGCTAAGGATGGCGAAGCAGAAAGATGAGAGAAGCCTGGTCTAGGATGTTCATGGGGCCACCATGCCAACATTGGCCTGCTGTCTTAGCGAGACAGAGAGAGAGAGAGTGTGTGTGGGGTGTGTGTGTGGGTGGGTGTGGGTGTGGGTGTGGGTGTGGGTGGGTGTGTGTAAGAGAAAACTAGCTTCCATGAGATTAAGGCATTGTTGTTTGGGCCTGTCTGCTATAGGCAGCCAGCTCAGGCCTAACTGATCGCACCCTGTGATTTCTGGAACACCTGCCCTCTACTCTTTCGCCTAAATCTCCCCCCATCTACTAGTCAGTGATGTTTGACATCCTTCAAGAGGTCTAAACCTTTCATTCCATAACCAGAGACAAAAAGTATAAAATGCAAATGTGTCTGTGATCAGTAATGTCTCAAGAGAAATGTGTCACCACTGAAGAACATTCTGAATTCACCTGCCACCAGCTCACAGGCAAAACTGACCTAACCCAGGTTTGTTCCTCATTTGACAGGAGGTCAAAGGGTATGAAGCCATTAAGCATCCCAAAGGGAAAGGGGCAGGAGAAATTCCCCAAGCGGGGAGAGTGCTTATAAAAAGACAGCCTGGGCAACCCAGGGTCATGCAGCCATCTGTCAGTGCTTCTTGGTAGAAACACGCTTTATGCAAATGTGAAAAGGATATAATATGACTTTTGGTATCAAAGAGATGTGGGCTCAAGTGGTAGAACTCTTGTCAGCTGTGTAACCATAGGCAAGTTACTTAACTGTCGGGCCTTCAGTTTCAGCATCCGTAAAATGGAAATAATAGTAACTACCCTTGGCCAGGTGTGGTGGCTCATGCCTGTAATCCCAGCACTTTGGGAGGCTGAGATGGGCAGATCACAAGGTCAAGAGATTGAGACCATCCTGGCTAACATACTGAAACCCTATCATCTCTACTCAAAATACAAAAATTAGCTGGGTGTGGTGGTGTGCACCTGTAATCTCAGCTACTCAAGAGGCTGAGACAGGAGAACTGCTTAAACCCAGGAGGCAGAGGTTGCAGTGAGCCAAGATCGCACCACTGCACTCCAGCCTGGCAAGAAAAAGTAACTACCCATGGAGATGTTCTGATGGTTAGATGGGACCAACCTGTGACGGTGCTTCATATGCCTTAAGCAACCCTGGCTTCACTGCTGTTCTCCTTATCATCATCAGTGATAAGTATAATTCTACTTTTGACTGGGAGGCTCAGAGAGCCTAAGTAACTTGTCCAAGGTCATCAGCTAATAAGTAACGATCTACAGGTCTTTGTCATACTAGCATTCATGTTCCCTCTTTTATACTTTGTAGCTTGGACAAGAAATACTGAACTTCATCTTCTCAAAATCATTTCCCATTTTATAATGAGAATAATATGACTTTTCTTTCTTCCCCTGCAGGTGAGATGCAATCCTTGAGGTTTGTGTGCCTTGAAAATTGCAGAGCTGTTTGCACGTAAGATGCCCCGTGTCATCTCCCAGGTTGACAGATAAATTCTTTGCAGGAAAGTATTGTGATCGGCACAGCTATTCAGGCATAGAGTAAATATTCAATAAACATGTGGGCTGAGCCCAAGAGGGCTGTGGTGGGCAGGACCCTGTGGCACTGACGTGAGGTTTCCTGCCACCCCCAGCGTTGAGGCAGTGGGTGATCTTATGGAGGTGGAGTCAGGAAGCAGGGGGAGGCCCCCAGCCTTGATAACAGGCCCACTTCCTCTGCCACCCAGCCACATCAAAGCAGGATAAACTGTTTCATTCATTCCCATGGCAACTGGGTCCCTGAGACTTCATGGTGGAGATCTCCCCCCACGTCCCTTCTCATTTCTCCCTGTGACTTTACCAGGACCTACCTTCTAAGCTAACACCACTGCAGCCCTTACTGCCCCCAGCACTGTGAAATCAATTAGGCCAACATTAATCCTCACTAACTGCATTGACAGGGAGGCATTGCTATACTCCCATTTTACAGCTGAGGAAACTGAAGCTCACAAGCTAAATGTCTTGCTGAAGGCCCACAGTTAGTGAGCAGCAGACCCAGGATTTGAAAGCACAATGGTCTGGTCCCAAGGACTAGTAGTCACCAAGTTATTCTGCCTCTCCTTCAAGCATTCAAGTTCCCTGGCCTCCATTCTAGTCCTCTCTCCACTTAACTGGGGGTGGGAGGGACTCAGGAATTAGGCAAAAAGATTACCGCATGCCTGTTAAAAATCATATGAGAGCATTTTTCAACAAGCTGCAGGCTTCACAGTTTATCATTCCAGGGTTTGGGCCTCACCATCGCCTGCCCCTCTATGCCACATCTGCTTTCTGGGCTGCCCAGAACAGAGTTTCTACCCAGCCGCCTGCAAAAATATCTCAAGGCATAGCATGCATTGAGCTGAGGAGAGACAGCTGGTTCTATTGAAATTGGGAAGTGGTCTCCCCACAGGTAATCCCCTCCCCTAACCTCATAGCTCCCTTATCCTTTTCAAAACACAAAAAAGAATCATTTAGGTCTTTGGTATAAACCCAAGGCCCTGCCAGGACATTTGGATTTTAAATTCTTTCTCTGAGCATTGTAGAAAGGAAGGAAAGCATTGCCTCCTAGCAAAGGAACTCCAGTCACCAGCAAGCTCAGAAGAGATCCAGGTCTGTTTGTTTTGGGAGGGAGTGAGGGAGGGAATGGAGTTTGACCTTAAACTGGCTTGTTCCTTTAGGGTTTGTTCTTTTCCTTGGGAAGCTGAGTTGGCAGACGCCTTTCAGGATCCAGCCCCTCCTAAGGGTTTTCCTGATGTCCTAAATCTCCACCCAAGTCTCTACTATGAGGTGAGGACCTCGTTATAGGTAGACTTGGGGGTTGGCAAAATCCTAGCTATACCTGCTCTGCTCTTTGCAATGACAGACAGCTGACTGGGGGCAGGCAGATCAGCTGATTGGGTGAGGCTCAGACATGTCAGCTGACTGGGTGGGGCATAGACAGATCTGGTGACTGGTTGGTTAGGAAAGTTATGAACCCTTCCAAAGAAATTTACAAGCCAAACTTCAGTCTTGACCTTCCTAGGGTCCGTAAGTTGTTGGGAAATAAGATGTGGTACTTCTGTCCTGTGTGTGTTTAATGTATAAGGTGAGAATTAAATGCTGCTGGTACTAAACAGAGCCTGGTGCATGGATACATCAGAAAGAGAGAAAACAAAAATAACATACATAGTATTGGGGTGCGTGCTTTTTCACTCAACTAGTTACTCAACATCTTTTGAGCTCAGTACCTATTTCTACAATATCCTTTTTAATAATTCAATATCATTCCACCAAATGACTTCACCACAGTATACTCGACCACATTCAATATTTAGGTTTTTTGGTATTGATTGATTATTAGCAAGAATGCATTGATGAACATCTTTGTAGCTACATCTTTGTACATCCATAGTGGGGCATCAGGATAAAATTCAGGAATGGAATTGCTGGGTGAAAGGGTATTCTTTCTGATGCTTTAGCAAACACAGCCCCCCATTCCTCACCAACTCCTGATATCAGGTGATCTGCCCGCTTCAGCCTCCCAAAGGACTAGGATTACAGGCATGAGCCACAGCACCTGGCCTTTTTGGATAGAATTCTAACACAATTTTTTTTATGGTCTACCAATTATCCTGATATCATTTATGAAATAACTGATTTTTTTCATCAATAATTTAAGGATGCCGCTTTGTCATATAATACAATTTTGTGTATTTAATCTGATTCTAGATATTACATTTTGTTCCATTATCTACCTACTCTTATAATCATAGTGTACTATTTTAATAACTGTAGTCCTATAGTACCTTCAAAAATGGAAATATTTTCTTACTTTTCTTTAAAAATATATGAATGAATATATCTAAGTGCATAAATAAATCTTTCAAATAGATTTTATTTCTTTATACATAAATTTATTTATATGTAAAATGTTTACATATTATGTTTATTTATATATATTTAAAAATTTTTTTAAATATCTTGGTATTTTGATTGTGGTTATGTTTATTTTTCTAACACTTGGTCTCATTACAATATTGATTCAATCCAGCAATATGATTCTTCAGTTATTCATTCTTCAGCAAAGTTTGTTTTCTCTACATAGGTCATTAAAATTTTTTAAGTTTATTTATTATTATTTATTTATTCATATTGAGACGGAGTCTCACTCTGTCGTCAGCCTGGAGTACAGTGGCGGGATCTCAGCTTAGTGCAACCTCTGCCTCCCGGGGTCAAGCAATTCCCCTGCCTCAGCCTCTCGAGTAGCTAGGACTATAGGCGCACACCACCACACCCAGGTAATTTTTTGTATCTTAGTAGAGATGGGGTTTCACCATGTTGGCCAGGATGGTCTCGATCTCCTGACCTCATGATCCACCCGCCTTGGGCTCCCAAAGTGTTGGGATTACAGGTGTGAGCCACTGCGCCTAGCCTATTTTTTATTTTTAATTACTGTTGTAAATTGGGTTTTCTCATTATGTTTTCTTACTGGTTAATGCTGGTTTATAAAAAAGCTCTTAGCTACCTATTTTCTAGTTCTGACAATTCTTTGTTCAGGGGATTCTCTCATTCTTCCCAGGAAAGCAACTGTTTGAGCTCCAACAAATTAAAATTTCTCTTCTTCAGAAGAGAAAGTATTCCTTATTTTTGTCTTTTTGCATAGGCAAAAAACCTATAAGCCAAAGGGAGAAGATTATTGACTCTAAAGAAAATGCCTCTAGTATTTTACCTTGGGCTGCTGCCATATTAAAAGCACTTCTAGAGTAATCATTTCCATATATTGAGGGGTTTTGAATATCAGGAATGGTATTGGGTTTTATGAACTATTTTAGAGACATCTATTGAGATGTTTTTGTGACTTTATTCCTTTGAGTACTGATTTGCTGAGCCACTTAGTAAATCACACTTGACTATGTTTTCTCCTGCACTATCACAGTTTCCTTAGACATCATTTTCATGTCTATGACAGCACCTGCAATTTCTGAAGAACTCCTGCTTTTCAGACCCCACACATGAAAACTGTCCCAGGTCTTGTCCACACTTGTCACAGAGGCCATCATTCCTGGCACCAACCACCTTCCCCGACCAGAACTGCATCAACCCACGCACGCAATTCCCTACTTGTTCCTGGGGCACAGAGACCATGCAAAGGCCTCTTATCAGCATCCTGGGTGCTTCTCTATCTGACCTGGGCAGACTTGAAGACCCCTTGACCAGCCAGATCAGAGGCACAGGCCAAGTGGCGAGGTCTCCTTGCCCTGAGTGCCTGCTCCTGCTTCCCCTAAGAATTCCTTCTCAAGTTACCTCCCATATTTACTTTCAGCCATCAGATTCAACCATCAGATGCTTGACAATGTCATGAAGAAGAGCCTCCAAGGTTGTGAACCAAGGCATAGGCAGAAGTGAACCAAAGGTTACAAGGTAAGGAGGGTCACAAAGAACAGCTTCGGAAGAGCTGGAAGCATTCTCACCTTGTGAACCTTGCCCCCCATGACAGCTGCCTCCATGCTTACCTGGGGCCTTGAGTTCAGCATCGATGAAGGTGAGCAGCTCCTGGCAGATGCTGCAGTAAGGAACAGGCCAGGTCAGGAACCGGTGGTAGGTGCTGGCTGCCTTCAGAAGGAGATCCGAGTCTGGTGGGAAGTGTGGTGTCTAGGATGGAGGCAGGCAACAAGCAGAAAGATCTAGGTAAGAAAAGGCTCAGATAGTCCCGAGTAGCTTCTGCTCCCTTTCTGGAATATTCCACAAAAGATACACCTTTCCTGGCAGCAGTGTGTCCCAGGACAAGGTCAGGAGGAACTGAAAGTTACCCACCAGGGGTGAGTTACAGATGGGCAAGATGGCACCCGGGGTGTCTCTACTGGAAGGGACTTGCTTTACCCAGTGCTTGAGTGAGCCTCTCTGAAAGGCTGACCGCTTACTGGTAAATGGTGTCATTGCTGCCACTTGTTACAGATAATGGTCTTCAATGCCTAAACCACCTTTCCTTAAATAGCCTCATTACAGGTAAATGTTTATTTTTTGAGGGTGGAATCAGTCAGTGCACACATCTGGTGCCACTGGGGGCGATCGCATTGGGTGAAACTGACCACCGGGGTGAAAAATGAGGTGGACATAGAATATCTCTTGTGGCTTGTTAACAGTGACAGCAGTTCTTTCATGGGAGCTCACGAATGCCAGGCACCATGGTGGCCACATGGAGTCACTGGAAGCCTCTCATGGTGGCTGCTCTGAAGCCATCTAAGTGTTGAAAGCCATTTCACATGCTGGTTCTTGACAGTTTCTCTCTCTGCTTATCTCCAGAGGTGTGAGGGTTCTGCCCCAGATAGAGGGTGCTCTCCCTCCTCCTCCCTCGCCTCCTGCGTCTTGGCCCACGCTGGACTTACACAAAGAACGGTGGAATAGAAGAGCAGGGCCAGAGGGGTGAGCAGGTCGTAGGTGCCCTTCTCCTGGACCTGTGGAGAGGATGAGACAGAGAGCGAGACTCATTCACGGGGTCCGGGGCTCCCTGAGGCAGAATACAGCAGTTCTCATTCTAGCCTCTTTTTTTTTTTTTTAAGTGAAAAGTGGTGTAATTACATGACAAACATTTGGAATGTAGATGTCAACGAAAACACTCAAAAATTTCCCTCCAAGACCCAACCACAGCTAATGTTTCAATGTCCCTCTCCTGACACCACTTTTGCCCTATGTATTTTCTTTAAGTTCTTGGATACATGTACAGAATGTGCAGGTTTGTTACATAGGTACACACATACGTGCCAATGGTGGCTTGCTGCACCCATCAACCAGACATCTAGGTTTTAAGCCCCGCATGTATTAGGTATTTATTCTAATGTTCTCCCTCCCCTTGCCCACCACCCTCTGACAGGCCCCAGTGTGTGATGTTCCCCTCCCTGTGTCCATGTGTTCTCATTGTTCAGCTCCCACTTATGAGTGAGAACATACTGTGTTTGGTTTTCCATTCCTGTGTCTGCGAAGCTATAAGCTGTGTGTATACTTAACTCCTATGTATTTTACATATAGTATTATAAGTCAATTTCTTTTTTCCTGCATGGTCTCTAAGGCTACCTTTTCCCCCTTCTGGTTATACACTTACCTGTTATTTGTGTTATAAATATTTGTTTCCAGTTAGCTCTCTTTTAATTTCATAGGTATTTGTCATGTACAGAAATTACAGGTGTTAAGTTTTCCTCTATGGATTTTTGCTTTTGCATGCAAAGATCATGTAAATATTCATATATATATATATTTTTTTTGAAGCTTCATTTTCTGAAATTGAAATATTTAAGCTGGGTGTGATGGCTTATGCCTATAATTCCAATACTTTGAGAGGCCGAGGAGGGCAGATCACTTGAGGCCAGGAGTTTGAGACCAGCCTGGCCAACATGGCAAAATCCCATCTGTACTAAAAATAAAAATATAGGCAGGCATGGTGGTATGCGTCTGTAATCCCAATTACTCAGGAGGCTGAGATTCTTTCTCAAAAGGAAAAAAAAAAAAAAGAGAAATATTTAATGCAACTAGAATTTCACCTGCTGTATGATGTGAGTTGGGGATCTCACTCTATCTTTTTCCAAATGTTTAGTCAATTTTCCCTAAACCATTTAATAAATCTTACTGATGCAATTGTATTATATGTTAAATTTTGTTTATGCCCTTGGATAATATTCATTATTTTTAGCTGCATTATACTCCATCTGGTAGACCTCCATAAATTACTAGTTTCATTGTGGACATTCTAGATTATTTTCTTGGCATTTTACATATTTTGCAATGAACACCATTATGTATATTCCTTTTTCTATAATTTGGATTATTTATCTAGAAAAGAGTTCAAGAAGTGGAGTCAACGAATCAAAGATTATCAACATATTTATAGACCTTTATGACCTTTGAGACATATTGTCATATTGCTTTCCAAAAGGATTTTGCCATTTATAATATTTTATGTATATAAAAGTACCAGTTTCACCATGCTCTTCCTGCATTGGTTTTATCTTAAAAACAAAACAACACATAACAAAAACAGAGAGACAGAGAGAGAGAGAGAGAAAGAGAGAGAGAGGGTCTTGCTCTGTCACACAGGCTGGAGTGCAGTGGCACAATCTTGGCTCACTACAGCCTTGACCTCCTGGGCCCAAGCACTCCTGCCTTCCTCCCATGTAGCTGATATTACAGGTGCGCACCACCACAACTGGCGACTTTTTGTATTCTTTGTAGAGATGAGGTCTTGCTATGTTGCCCAGGCTGGTCTTGAACTCCTGGGTTCAAGCATTTCTCCCACCTGAGTCTCTCAAAGTGCTGGGATTACAGGCACAAGCCACTGTACCTGGCCTGACCTTTTTTTTTTTTTTTTTTTCCTTGCTAATTTGTTAGGCAAAGTTCGTCTCATCATGGTTTTAATTTGCATTTATTTCATTATCATTTTTCATATTTGTTTACAAATTCTATTTATCCTTTTGTGGACTGCCTCTCTGATACAACCTACCACACCACATGCACACGTGTGCACAGCACATGATTTAGAATTCATTCGTCAAAATGCCGAAGGTTTCTCGGCCCATTTTGGAACTCGGGGGAGCTGGAGACACAGAGAAAGCCCCATCATGTCTTCTGTGCTGGATGACCTCAGTAGGCTCAAATTCAGAATTCTCTTTCTCTTTACCCTTAATAGACAATGTGTCTACCATGCCTCATGGGGTCGGACCTTTCTATGAAACCCTCCCATATTGCTCCACGGTGGGCCAGACTTTCCATTTTGGTTTATATGTTATGCATTTCCGAGGTGGTTCAGCTGTTCCAAGCTGGGTGGCTTATGATGAGGGTAAAAAAGTACCAGGTAAATAGTGGTGTAACCTTGGGCATCTTCTTACAGGGAGAGGTAACTGAGAGTGAAAGTAACATGTTTTCCAACTCAGTCATGTATTTAAAATAACACACACACACACACACACACACACACACACACACACCCCATAAAAGAGAATTCCTATTAAAAAGCCCAAATTCTCTTTTGGGACTCACAGCTATTCTGGAACCCAAGCCCAGCTCAACACTAAGCACATCCCTCTTCATTGTCATAAAAGCCATTGATGAAACTATGAGAGGGGGCCTCAGTTTACCTTTTCGATCAGTTTTCCCTTTCGTGTCTTTGTTTTTATGGATCTTTTTGAGGAAGGGAATCGGGTAAAGTGTCTTCTCCCTTCCTAGTCAATACCTGGACTTACAAGTCATGTCTGTGGCTGAACACAGGACCCTGGCTCATGTATGATGTGTTCTTACTGAGTGCATTCCTACCTAGAAACCCCTCGTGCGCAAGCACTGCCGAAACACAGAACCCACAGGTTCCCAGGGCCTTTGCCAAGCCCCTCTAGGGCTCCAGGCCTCTGGAATGATGTTCTCTGGGACCTATTTCTCCACTCTATGGGGCCAACCCCAACTCTGCCCTTCCATTCCTGACTCTCCCTCACCTCTCGGGTCTTCTGCAGGATCTGCTCAAGGAGGATGAGGAAGTGGCCCGGGTCCCTGCTGACCAGCTCCTGCAGGCTCCAGCAGTTCAGACACAGCCCAGCTGGAAAAGGAGAGAGAGGCAAGGGGTCAGTTCTGGTCTCTTCGGGCCACGCTCAGGCGGGGGCTGCAGAGAAGGGGCATTTATGCTGGAACATTCTTCTGTGGAATTGCACTGGTACACTCCTTTCTAAAGTAAGTGAATCCAGAAGATGCTGGATCCACACTTGACCCTACCATGACCCATCAAGACATAATGGCAAGTTCCCTGTTCCTGCATAAGCAAGAGACACGGGGATTGGAGATGCAGGCTGGGATCTCCTTTAGAGGATAATGAGCTCACCACAACTCCGCTCCCTGTGGGAGCGCCATTTCTCCCAAACCCTCCCCTGCCCTGGCTTTCTACAGTGGTACCTATGAGTTGCAGGGAGGTTAGAACAGAGGCAGGAGTTGCTGGAAGAATACAGAGAGGAGCCACGGTGAGTTCCATCCCAAGACGCGAGACCGAGTCTACAGCAGCCATGGAGCTTCCCGGGACTGGCCAGAGAGCCTAGGAAGGGGAAGCTAAACTATTTCTATTTTAAAACCTACCATGAGCACATTGTCACTCTGTAACTTCCCCCAGGCTTGCTTATTTTGTCAGTCTTTGTTTCCCTGCAGTCAGCAAGGGTAAACCCCTAGAAATTAAAGGGACAGCCCGGGGCAGGGGAGCACGGAGGGACTGGGGTGTGTGTGTGTGTGTGTGTGTGTGTGTGTGTGTGTGTGTGAGAGATGGGGGGTTGAGAGCTGCAGGAGTGGAAATGGATTGCACTTGAACTTTGTGGAGCTCAAGCTCCAGGACTGCTCGTGTACAGGCTCCTTCCAAAGTTCTGGAGGCTTCTAACAATGTGTCCATGTGGTCACAGGTTGTA